ATGTCAAATTGGAAGTCCGCAAGAAGGCTTCTGAAATGCCGGGCCTGGCGCACCGCTTGGGCGAAACCGGCTTCGTGATGAGAAAGAACTTTACTTCTAGCCCTCTCTCGGTACGCGCCGTAGGCCTTCTTCTCGGCCTCCAAATCATTTGCCAGCTTAGCCGACTTTTCGGCCTCGGCCTTCAGGCGGTTCTCCAACCTTTGCACCTACAAAGTCAGGTGATCGTTCAAGTGGCCCCGGCGGTCCATCTCGGTCTCACATTTCTTGTCGTGCCCCTGCGCCTCGGGCAAAGTAGCCAAAGCCTCCTGAACAGACCTCTCCGACTTAGAGAGATTTTGGCGCAGCTCCTCGGCCTCGGCACTCGGCACTCGGCTGCATCATAAGATTCTTAGCCAAGGCCAAGGAGCGAGCTTGGAACTCGCAGAAGAAGGTCCACTTGTGGGCCGCACTCATCTGACCCAGCATGTTTTGCCCCACCTCCAAGGTCAAATCTTGACTAAAATAGTCTTGAGCGCTAACATTGGAGGCTAGAAAGTTCAGACTCACTAGCCCTTGAGGAGGCATAAGTACAGGCAACACTTGTTGTTTTTGCCTCCTCGCTTTGGCCTCGGCCCTCGCCTCCTCGGCCTTCCTCTTTGCCACCCTCGCCTTGTAGGCATCCGGAACATTCTTATCCTTCGGCTTCGGTTGTTGCCAGGCCGTTTCACGGGTCGGAGCCTGGTTATCTCCATGCCCAGTCGGCGCTAGCGTCGAAGCTCGGCCTTGGATCAAGTTGCGGATATCCAAGTCATCGCTTCCATAGCTCGTCATGATACCTGTACAAACATTAGTCAAAATCAATGGCAACGCAGGAATTTAAACAAAAGACAGATGCTATACCAATTAAAGCGTCAAGCGACTGTGGTGATTTCATAAGCCGAACAAGCTCTCGGCACGATAATGGCCGAGGCATCTTCTCCAACACTGCCAAGTCGGCTCTCTCATCGGAAGACATCTTGGACTTTGACACCACATCGTATTTCCTCGGCGCCCGAGTCCAGTACAAAGGGAAAAACGCCTTTCCCTCGTCATCAAAAAAGTACTTGTTGTCGGTACTGGGCCGAATCATCACCTTAAAAAACCCTACTTTGAACCCATTATAGGAGGTCGTGAACGGCTGAAGCAAGCAATGATCTGTCCGAAGCAAAGAGAGCCATTTTGCTTTCTTCGTCGGCCGAGAAGAGTAGAAATATAAGAATAGGTGGGGAGTCAGCTCGATATGAAGTGTTATGCACAACTGCCAAAACCCTTGCATCGCGGCCCAGCTGTTCGGATGCAGTTGTGTCGGCGCAACGTTGAGCAGCGGAGCACACCCATAAAAAACTTGTCAAAAGGGAGTGTCACCCCCAAATCCCGAAACAAATAATCATATACAAAAAAGAAATTATATTTACACTTCTCTCGGCCAAGGAAAACAAAATCTGACTCCCATGACCCGTCAATTCGACATGGTTCGAAAAAGAAACCGGACGGCACCTCATCCTCTGGAAGAGTAACAAAATTCTCGGCGTCAAACAACAACCCGATCGAGCTCTTATCTCTCCATGTACCCATCTATAGCCAGGGACTTCTATAGGGCCGAACTGATGAGAGGCCGGGCCGACTCTACGAGTACTTGGTCGGCCTTCGATCATCTCGAGAGAAGAAACCTCTTCTACACTCTGTGAATGCTCGAACTCTTCAACAATTTCTACACTGGCTGACTTATTCGATGCCGAATCCGAAGCACCCTGTTGATACGAAGGCTCACGCGAACCCGCATCGACAGAACCCGTCCCAGTATCCCCAACGGAGCCAGCTTGGGAAACCCTATTGATGGAGTAGTTCCTTCCATGGGTGATGACAATGGTTTCATGGTGTTACATCGAATCAAATTTCAAACTGTACAGATTCAAATCAAACCATAGTCTTCTTTTGTTGTCAGATGCGACGACTTTTTATGAGATGCAATGATATTTAACTATATTATAATGGCAAATTATTTAAAATTTGGGTAGCGTAATATGAAATGGATATGGTGACAACTAATTGACATTAACAAATTGCAAATTTAATACTGGCATGAACTTCCAACGTGTCTGAGTAAGTCAAACTACCATGTGTTTTTGGACAAGGAAATGATACCTTAGTGATGCCAATTATTATAACGCCAAAATATTACGTGAAACTGTTATTTTTCTTCTTTTTCAACTAATTACAAGACAAGCATGGTCCAGTCAAATAATCGAATATACAACTCTAGAATAACTATATATCCAACTCACCGATTAAATATTAAAGAATGGGGAAGAGAAACTTAAAGTCCTCTGACTATAGATCGACTTGGCTGTGTATATAATGCTGAGCAACACAAAGTTTTGCACTCACCACAAAGCAAAAGAGAGAGCTAGACTAAAATGGCAGAAACTGCAGTGTCCTTGGCTGGTCAGCATTTGCTTCCAAAATTTTTGGAAGCTCTCAATATGCTGAAAGATCTCCCAAAGGAAGTTGCAGACCTTACAGATGAACTGGAGAGCTTTCAAGATTTCATCAATGAGGCTGATAAAGTGGCTGAAACTGAACAAGAGCTTCCAAAAATTTTGGAAGCAAATGCTGACCAGCCAAGGACACTGCAGTTTCTGCCATTTTAGTCTAGCTCTCTCTTTTGCTTTGTGGTGAGTGCAAAACTTTGTGTTGCTCAGCATTATATACACAGCCAAGTCGATCTATAGTCAGAGGACTTTAAGTTTCTCTTCCCCATTCTTTAATATTTAATCGGTGAGTTGGATATATAGTTATTCTAGAGTTGTATATTCAATTATTTGACTGGACCATGCTTGTCTTGTAATTAGTTGAATAAGAAGAAAAATAACAGTTTCACGTAATATTTTGGCGTTATAATACTTGGCATCACTAAGGTATCATTTCCTTGTCCAAAAACACATGGTAGTTTGACAAGCATTGAAAAATTTGCTTCCATACCTCTACCATGTGATACATAACCTTTTAAACTCTTAAATTGTAAATTATAAGTCTAACACTCAGCCATACAAATCAAATTGTAAGATAAGTATTACCTCAACTTATATACTCTTTAATTATTTTATTCACTACTAGAAAAATGTCATTTTCGTGCGAATTTTCCTACAAAAAAATATTTGCAGAAATTTTTTGTAAATTTTCTTGCAATAATAATTTCACATATAATTTTTTACGAATTTATTTGCGAAAAATAATTTGCAAATATTTTTTAAAATTTTTTACGAAAAATAATTTACAAGAAAATTTTGCAAATTTTGCTACAATTTTAATGATCATAGAAATTGTTTTCATGGTGAAAATTTGTAGAAAATATTGTAAGAATTTTATTTTGTTTCTTGCAAATTTTGTTTTGCAAGTAATGTTTACTAAACGGTAGAAAAATTTTGCAGGTAACTTTTCCTTCGGATTTTCTTGCCAATTTTAATCCGCAGGAAAAATCAAAAAAATATTTAAATTTATAAGTTTAACATTTTAAAAAAACTTCAAGTCCCACATCGATTAAAAAAAATAATTAAAGAGTATATAAGTTTGGGCAACACTCACCTTACAAGTTGATTTGTATGGTTGAGTGTTAGACTTATAATCTACAATCTTAAAATTTAAAAGATTATGTATCACATGTTGGAGGCATGGAAACAAATACTTCAGATGAATTTGAAACTTTCCTACAAAAAAAAATTATAAAATTTCACAAAAAAAATTTGCAAGAACAACATTTCCTGCAAATTTTTATGAAAAATTCGCAGGAAAAGTCGCATGTAATAAGAGAAATTCTAGTAGTGATTTCCAATCGATGTGAAACTTAAAGTTTTCTTTAAATATTAATTAGATCATGTCTTTAGAAAATGATTAATTCATTATATTGAACAACAAATTTATATTATTGTAAATTATTTTAACTATTAAAATATTCAATATTCTAAACATATTAGTTTTTTTATTAAATAATTATATTTTAAAAATTATTATTAAATTAAAACTTATTATCATTAATTTATCATATTTATAAAATTTTATATATTTAATTTAATAAAATTAACATTAAAATTAATTATAATGATATATTTATAAATAATTTAGTAAAATAACATTTTTTTAAATTAAAAATCTTTTAATTATTAAACTTATAAATTTAAACATTTTTTTATTATTACCGCAGATTAAAATTTGCAGGAAAATCTAGAGAAAAAAAGTTACTTGCGAAATTTTTTCTACCATTTAGTAAACATTACCAACGAATTTATTTTTATAGGAAAATCTACAAGAAATAAAATAAAATTCTTACAACATTTTCTGCAAGTTTTTACCATGAAAAAAAAATTTCTATGATCATTAAAATTGTAGCAAAATTTGTAAAAAAATTCTTGTAGATTATTTCTCATAAAAAATTTATAAGAAATATCTATAAATTATTTTTCACAAATAAATTCGCAAAAAAAAAAATTATAAAATTATTATTGCAAGAAAATTTACAAAAAATTTCTACGAATATTTTTTTTTTAGAAAATTGAAACTTTTCTAGTAATGACATGTATATCTATGTTATGATAAACAGTATAACTAACATTATTGTTTAATTACATTAACAAATCAGCTAAATCACAATATTTTCACAACTTGCACTATAATAATTCGTTTTCACACTTTCATGGTGTTACATCGAATCAAATTTCAAACTGTACAGATTCAAATCGAACCATAATCTTTTTTTGTTGTCAGATGCAACGTCTTTTTATGAGATGCGATGATATTTAACTAGATTATAATGGCAAATTATTTAAAATTTGGGTAGCGTAATATGAAATGGATATGGTGACATTAATTACAATTAATGACAAGCATGGTCCAGCCAACTATATATCCAACTCACCGAATAAATATTAAAGAATGGGGAAGAGAAACTCAGTACTCTCTGACTATGAACTTGGCTATGTATATATAATACTGAAAATATAACGTTTTGCACTCACCACAAACCAAAAGCTAAAGAGAGAGCTAAACTAAAATGGCAGAATCTGCATTGTCCTTGGCCGGTCAGCATTTGCTTCCAAAATTTTGGGAAGCTCTCAATATGCTAAAAGATCTCCCAAAAGAAGTTGCGGACCTTACAGATGAACTGGAGAGCTTTCAAGATTTCATCAATGATGCTGATCAAGTGGCTGAAACTGAACAAGATGGTGGTAGACGTGATAGAATCAAAAAAAGGGTGATGCGGCTGAGAGAAGTAGCTTTTCGCGTGGAAGATCTCATTGATGAATATAAGGTATGTGAGGAAAAGCAACCTGATGATCTTGGATGTGCAGCTTTACCATGTGAGGTTGTTGACTTCATCAAGACTCTGATCCATCGCATTAAAGTAGCATATGAGATTCAGGAAGTTAAGTCACTTGTTCCTGCAGAAAGAAATGGATTCAAAAGCCATTTTCCTTTAGAACAAAAGCCAAACAGTTCTAGAGGAAATCAAAATGTCACATGGCACAAACTTCGAATGGCTCCTCTCTACACTGGGGAAGCTGAGGTTGTTGGCTTTGACGGCCCTAAAGATCAATTGAAAGATTGGTTGATAAAGGGACGATTAGAGCGCACTGTCATCTCTGTGGTAGGAATGGGAGGACAGGGAAAAACCACTCTTGCAAAGTTGGTTTTTGACAACAAGGAGGTCTTTGAATGCTTCGATTGTCGTGCTTGGATCACAGTTTCGCAATCCTACTCTGTAGAAGGACTGCTGAGGGATATGTTGCAGAAGTTTGGCGAAGAAAGAATGAATGTTTCTTCGATGGATCAGATGTCCTTGATAGATCAAGTGAGAGCCCACTTGCATTCTAAAAGGTATGTTATCTTTTTTGATGACGTATGGAATAAATATTTTTGGGATGAGATTGACTTTGCTCTAATTGATAGCAAAAAAGGAAGTAGGATATTAATCACAACCAGAAACGAAGAGGTTACAGAGTTCTGTAAGAAATCTTCTTTGATTCAAGTGCACAAGATAGAGCCTTTAAGTGAAAAAGAATCTTTGAGATTGTTTTCTAAGAAGGCATTTGAGTATGGATCTTATGTATATTGTCCAGAAGAACTTAAATATATATCTCTTGAAATTGTTAGAAAATGTAAAGGTTTACCTCTAGCAATTGTGGTTATCGGTGGTCTTTTATCCCAAAAAGATAAAAGTGCCTTTGAATGGAGACAGTTCAGTCAAAATCTAAGTTTAGAGTTGGATAAGAATTTCAACTTTAGCCTAGCAAAAATTTTAAGTTTAAGTTTTGATGATTTGCCTAATAGTCTCAGATCATGTTTATTGTATTTTGGAATGTATCCTGAAGACTACGAAGTTAAATCTAACAGACTTATTATGCAATGGATAGCTGAAGGGTTTGTCAAATCAGAAGGGGAAAAAACACCCGAAGAAGTTGCACGGCAATATTTAGTAGAGTTGATCCATAGAAATTTGGTGCAAGTATGCTCATTTACCATTGATGGCAAACCCAAACGATGTCGTGTTCATGACTTATTACATGAGATGATTCTTACAAAAATCAAGGATACAGGGTTTGGTTTGTATATTGGTGAGCACAACGATTCCGTTTCAAGTGGGATCGTACGACGCCTAACAATTGCAACAGATTCTGATGATTTGCTTGGAAGTATTGAAAGCTCATACATTAGGTCAATTCTGTTTATCACCCGTAAAGAGTTATCTGAACACATGGTAAGGAGAATCCCTACTAAATACATGTCATTGAAGGTACTCGATTTTGATCATGCTCCATTGAGTTATGTTCCGGAAAATTTGGGAAATTTAATCTACTTGAAGTATTTAAGCTTGGGATACACAAAGATTCGTAGTCTACCAAAATCCATTGGTAAGCTCCAAAACTTGGAGACCTTGGATATCGACGGCGCGCTAGTGTTTGTGATGCCAAAAGAGATTACAAGACTTAGAAAACTTGGTCATCTTCGGATTAGCCGAATATCTTCCTTTGAAGCAGTAAAGGAAAGTCTTGGAGGCCTAACATCCCTCGAACAGATACGAACAATGAGAATAGATTCTGATGGAGTTGTGATTGCAGAGCTAGGAAAGCTAAAGAAATTAAGGGATTTGAGCTTAACTCATTTTAGGAGAAAATACAGACGCACTCTGTGTTCTTCGATAAATGAGATGCACTTCTTGGAGAAACTACGTATCGGAGCAAGGGATACCAATGAAGTCATTGACTTGTCCGATGTATCGCTCCATCCCACACTTAAGAAGCTTTGCTTGAGTGGGAAGTTAGAGAAGTTTCCAAATTGGATTCCAAAGCTCCAAAATCTTGTGAAATTGTCCTTGGAATTGTCCTTTTTAACTAGTGATCCGTTGAAATCACTAAAAGATATGCCAAATTTGTTGTGCCTAAATATTAGCCACCATGCTTATGAAGGTGAAAGTTTGCATTTTGAGGATGGAGGGTTTCAGAAACTAAAGGAACTGCGGCTTCAAAATTTGCAACATTTGAATTTCATCAGTATCCATAGAGAAGCACTTCTTTGTTTGGAAAGGCTTGAGTTAAGCGAATTACCCAAACTCAAGGAAGTACCTTCTGGCATTCTGCAGTTAGAGAAACTTGGAGTTGTCCATATATTGAACCTGCCAATTCATATTATGGGATTTTTTAATTATGGAAATCCAAAGCGCTGGATCATATCCAGAGCAAACCCATATAGAATGTTTTAAAATTCTCTGCAAAATTGCCAAGATATGGAATCAACATAAAGCGTCCAACCTTGCAAATAAATGGTATGTTTGCTTCTTATTAATAACTGTAGAATGATATTTTTGGCTTTATTAGTTCCTAAAATTATTTCTTTACTTTTGCCTCCCTTTTTCTTGATTTTCTTCTAGTGTATGCTTTATTGTTCTTTGTCTACATCAATCATACAAATTAGGGATAAAATCCTCTAATAAGTATTAAGATATTATATGGTGTTGGTACGTGCAAGACTTCAACAACCATTAGTTGCCGTTGTTTGTTAAAAATAGCCTGTTCATTGTAATACCTGTTCTAATACTGTGATCTGAATTGCTAGGTAGTGGGTTTGAAGTTCAACTCATGCTGTGGATAGCAAATCATTTGGATTGCTCTTCTTAGTCAGGGGCTGGACCAGGGCTAACGGACGCTGTTACTCAAGGTGCCATACTAGCAGCAAAACCAGTTAGTGGATTCAAGATAGGAAGAAAAGCTGGGGAGTGGACAACCTCTCACTTTCATTCATACTTACCATCAGAAAATTACCTCACCTAGGCCTGCAGGTTTCTACCATCAATGCTCAATAACTTGTACTATTAGTATTGATATGGGTGCAATTGCTGCTTAGATTGTTTTTGAACTTTTGAGTTCAGGTTTTTCTCTGCAAGGAAGCACAGTCTGTTGATGCTGTAGTGGGAACAATTCATTTGATAGGTTGGTTGGTACTCTAGATGTGTTGTTTGATATACTGGAATTAATAATTCAGCTGCACTGGATTGGATCTAAGCTTCCTTGTTCTCTTCCTGTTGATGAACTATGATTCATTTTATTCAAAGCTGTTTCACTTTTTAAATGATTGTGAGGGTTCGGGAACTGTCTCTAAAGGAGAGGTTGCATCATTGTGGAAGGTTTGTAACAGCAACTCGGAAGATTTGGCATACCTTGAAGAATTCTACTGCATTTATATTCTAGTGACAAAAGTAAGAATGTCACTAAATTGTATAAAAACCGGATGGAATGACCAGTTTGGGGGAAGAAAGTGAAACTTTTTGAATTTGGAAGAATAAATAAATAAATTAGCCTAATATTAAAAAAAAAAAAATTAATGTGTGAGGACACCGTATATTTAGTTATAATACTTGAATATCTATTTAATGATTTGAATGTTTATGAAAAGTCATTCCTGAATTATTTATTTATCATGATTAAAAATAAATTATAATAAATATTTTACCAACATTAAATTATGTATATAATGACTAATGTGAAAATGTTGAAAAGATATTTTATAATTATTTTTATTGTCACTTAAAATAATATTAAATATCATTAAAAGTTTATTTTGTTATAGTAATAGAAACAAGTTCTAATGATTTGATTGGAATTGAAAGATCATATATTGAGTCAATTCTAATTTTCACAAGGGAAATGTTATCTAAATACCTGATAGGCGAAATCCATACAAAATACATGTTGTTGAAGGTACTTAATTTTGGTTATACTCGATTGAGTCAATTGTAAGATGTTCTTGAAAATTTGGAGAATTTAATCCGGTTGAAGTACCTAAGCTTTAGGTATACACAGATACGAAGTCTTCCAAAATCCATTGGTAAGTTCCAAAACTTGGAGACCTTGAATGTATGAAATACATTTGTGTCTTACATTGCGCAAGAGATTAGCAAGCTTAGAAAGCTGCCTCATCTTCTGGGTGATACATTATGTTCCATTGAAGTAATGGATAGTCTTGGAAGCATGACATCCCTTAAAAAGATACGTGTACTCTATATATAGATCTTGACAAATTGGTAATTAGAGAGCTAAGAAAGTTAATGCACTTAAGGGATTTGAGGATTGCTAGTTTTAGGGAAGACCACAGGAACACTCTATGTGCCTCAATAGATGAGATGCAATTAGAGGTACTATGCCTTTTTAACATCATTTTATTTCAAAATTCTTGTAAAGATTAATTTTTAAAAAAATTATGAAAATGCCTAAATTGTGTTTCTTAAACACAAAATTTAGGGTAAAAATCGTGTTTTAAAACACAACTTTTCTATTTATAATATTTAGATATTTTTTTCAAATTTAAGAATAAAAGTCATATTTAATAACACGAATTTTGAATATAGTTATTTTTTTATAATGATTTTATTTATTTTTTACTTATTTAATTTAATTTTTTCAAAAAAAATGAAGCCTTGTTATTAAACAAGACTTTTTTTTAGTATAGTGGAAAGAAAAATAAAGAAACCAAAAAAGAAACGGAACTCAAATTAAACTAAACGGAGCATCCCGCACTATAGCTGGAAGCTAATACCAAAAATGTCACTTCCCACCTTGATGAGTGCAATTGATAATATAAAAAATATTGATAATTTTATTTTTGTATTACAAATTTATTTATTTAATAATGTTATTAATAATTTAATATGTATATTATTATATTTATTAATTTAATGATGAGATATTATTCGTTTTGAGTCTAAACTCTCACAATTTTACTTTTGGTCATCACCTAAAAAATTTCTCAACCATTAGAGTATACTTGTGTTTTATAAGTTATTTATTCGCTTATTTTATTGATGTGAGACTTATTTATATCCTAACAACATATTCATGTCTCAAATCATAAAAGACATTGAAATATAATATTGACATGTATAACCACATTCTCAAACAATATCACTAACATTATTGTTTAATTACATTAACGGATCAGCTAAATCACAATATTTTCACAACTTGCTCTACAATAATTAGTTTTAACATGTATAGCCACGTTCTCATAAACAATATCACTAACATTATTATTTAATTACACATTAACGGATCAGCTAAATTACAAAATTTTCACAACTTTCTCTACAATAATTAGTTTTCAGTTTTCACACTTTCATGGTTTTACATTGAATTAAATTTGAAACTGTACAAATTCAAATCGAACCATAATTTTTTTTGTTGTCAGATGCGACGACTTTTTATGAGATGCGATGATATTTAACTATATTATAATGGCAAATTATTTAAAATTTGGGTAGCGTAATATGCTATGGATATGGTGACAACTAATTGACATTAAAAGATTGCAAATTTAGTACTGGCATGCACGTTCCCACGAGTGTGTGAAACTAGCGCAGCTCATGTACAGTTCATTAAAAGATGGCAAACTACCATGTGATTTTGGACAACTGGACGATACTTCAATTTAGCCGAGCCAAATATATTGTGACTAAGTGATGTTTAAATAATCAAATAAACATTACAATGACAACTGACAAGCGCGGTCCATTTAAATAATAATCGAATACAGATCTATAAATTTACTATATATCCAACTTGCTGTATAAATATTAAAGAATGGGTGGTAAGTCAAACTGAAAGTCCTTCTCTTACTATATACTTAGATATATATAATCTTAAAGAACATAAAGTTTTGCACTCACCACAAAATCACAGAGAAAAAAGAGAGCTGCTAAACCGAGATGGCAGAAACTGCAGCGTCCTTGGCCGGTCAGTATTTGCTTCCTAAAATTTTGGAAGCTTTGAAAATGCTTAGAGATCTCCCAAAAGAAGTTGCAGACATTACAGAAGAACTGGAGAGCTTTCAAGATTTCATCAATGATGCAGATCAAGTGGCTGAAGCTGAAGAAGATGATGGTAGGCGTGATAGAATCAAAAAAAGGGTGATGCGGTTGAGAGAAGCAGCTTTCCGCATGGAAGATATCATCGACGAATTCTCGATTCATGACGAAAACAATCCTCACGATCCTCGATGTGCAGCTTTACTCTGTGAGGCTGTTCAGTTCATCAAAACTCGGATCCTTCAACTTCAAGTAGCATATAAGATTCAGGATGTGAAATCACTTGTTTGTGCTGAAAGAGATGGCTTCCAAAAGCAATTTCCTTTACCAACAAAACCGAGTGGTTCTAGAGGAAATCAGAATGTCACATGGCACAAGCTTCGAATGGATCCTCTATTTATTGAGCAAGATGAGGTTGTGGGCTTTGAGAGTCCAAGACGTACGTTGAAGAATTGGTTGATAGAGGGACGAGAAGAGCGCACTGTCATCTCTGTTGTTGGTTTGGCAGGAGTTGGAAAAACCACTCTTGCTAAGCAAGTTTTTGACAATGTCCATAACGACTTCGAGTGCCATGCATTGATCACTGTGTCTCAATCCTACACTGTAGAAGGACTGCTGAGGGATATGCTGCACCAGTTTTGTAAAGAAAAGATGGAGAATCATCCTGCAGATGTTTCTACCATGGATCGAAGATCGTTGATTGAAGAAGTCAGAAAGCAGTTGCGCAACAAGAGGTATGTTGTCATGTTTGATGACGTGTGGAATGAAAAATTTTGGGATGATGTTGAATCTGCTGTAATTGATAATAAAAATAAAAGTAGAATATTAATTACAACCAGATATGAGAAGGTTGCAGACTTCTGTAAGAAATCTTCTTTTATTGAAGTGCATAAGCTAGAAGAACCTTTAAGTGAAGAAGAATGTTTCAGATTGTTCTGTTACAAGGCATTTAAGTATGGTTCTGATAGAC